AGGTGATGGGTGGGTGCCTCTGTCGCCCGGGACAACTCCGATCAGTACCACGTCGCACTGCACTACACGAGAAAAACCCGCAGGTTATAGGACCGACCTTCTACGGGAACCTACCTGAGGAATAAAAAACTGAATGTTATGAGGAAACGTTCAGGAGCAAACTGAATAAACTTATTACTTTTATTGCAAAAGTCCCTTTACTCAATAACAGAGTAGATTCAAAGTATACTATATAAATAATTAAATTAGTGTATTTAACATTTGACCTCCACCGTGTTATTATACTTTAATTTATATTTATTACTTATTAAGAATCCACATTGACATTTCCTGTATACAGTACCTACACTTGACATTGTTAGTTTAATTCAAATATTCATTGATTAAATAATTTGATTTGTATATCGTCTCTGGAAAGCGATAATGCTGTAACCCGCAATAACTGCAAAAATGCTTTTTTGCATGTTCTTGTTCAGTTTTTCTTTCTGCTTCGATTGGGTTTCATGTCTCTAAAATGAAAAACAAACTCTGGACAGCATAATTTTCTTAACGCTTCTTTCTGATTAAGGAATTTTAAAACGATTTAACCCACATAAAATCCAGTTTTTTTGCGAAATGTGCATTACATTAAGAACACGTAATTAATTTGTTCTGTGCATCTGATTATGATTATTCCGTCTTTTTATGAAGTTTTTTCTCAGTTCACATAACAGTAACCATTATCATTTATTCAGCAAGCTCATGTATCACAAAATCTTATTTCTAGATAGCATGAACCCCCTTTTTTTTCTTTTTTCTTTTTTTCGACGGGGGGGAAATCTTTATGGATACCCCTGAGCCCAGGGAGACTCAGGAGTTATGTGGGGACTCTCCTTCCAGACTGAAGGGCCTACCCCACTAAAACCCCCCCGGGTTTCCCTCTCGCCGGTTGAGTCGGCGCCGTGGGATCAGTGAACATTCACCACGACGCCGCCCGGCCGCCCTAGCTTACGCCAGGGCTCGCGCGCCAACGGAGGAGCGAGTCGGTTGTCCTCCGAAGATAGCATGAACCCCTGGCACAGCTAATAGCACAGATTATGTCATAATAGTTACTATCAATAGTCTAAATGACTGTAGGTATGTTCAGGCAGTCATCATTAAACTTTGTGGTATAAAGTTTAATTAATAATAAAATAGATACACGTATAAAATATATTCTACACATCTAACAAATATAAAAATAAAAAATAATGTCACAAAAAAGAAGAAAATGCCTAGGTGAGCTAAAAGAGAACAAAGAAGCAATTTTCTGTCGACGAACGCTATGCTACTAGATCAAAACAATCTAAGACGGAAATTTTAAATAACAAATTACAACGACCATCAGACGGTTCTAATAAATTGTAATCTAATCCAATGTGCAACAATCTTCCATCGAGAATAATTTAACCAGATTCAATGCCACAAACCGCATCAAGAAGCTCCATGACATATCACCAAAAGATATGCAACACGCCAAACTCAAAACTAAACTCAAAATTAATATCTACAAAAGTTTATGATTTGACGCCCACGTTTAGAAACCCTGAGAAAAATTTATACAAAGTACCTATCTACTGAAATGATAATAGAAAATGTGTACTTTCAAAAAGACCAATAATGCAGAAGCTGGTTGCAGTTTTTGGACCTAACCTTCAATTGACCAGTTATAATATAACCCGGAAATATCAATGATGTACAACCGGGTTGCAGTTCATGGAAAAGACAAAGTATTACGACACTATTTAGAAGGTTTAATTTTAATATTTTTTTACATTTTGAAGTCTGCTTGATGGATGAATATAGTTTGGTTTTAACTTAAATTATAATCATGACAAAATGTTTCTATATTTTTACTATTTTCGTTTATTACCTAATGCCTACGACCAATAGGGATGGTTCAATTATTATTTCATTTATATAGGTAATAATTTCAATTCTTAACACATAGATAATCTTTTTCCTTGTATGTACCAGGCAATAAACTAAAATAGAAAATATAAGAACAGAAAATGAAAAACTAATAATCAAGAGTAAGATTAGTTGTTGATTATTATTCTTTTATGGAATTTAAGGAATTTATAATTCATCAGTTCTAAGAACGATGTAATATGGCACACAAAGTGTCAATTATTTTGTTTTAATGTGTTAAATCTCCAATATTGTAATTCGATTTGTTTCATTGTACTCATTGTGACAAAAGTTTTTTTCACAAATAGTGGTTCTTTTTAATAATAAACATTTTAAAAGCCATGTAAATTGCATATGATTTTCACTAACACCACTTTAATGTTACCTGCTTGGGTTTAAAAAATACTCTTACAGCATTATTGAATTTCGTACATCTTCAAGAAGTTAACTTTTAAAGATCAAAAATGTGTTAAGGAGCTCTAATTCATTTACATCACTCTTAAACAATTCATGGTAGTAAATTGACGGCATTAGTCGAACCTTCATACAAATTTACTTGAAAGTCACAGCATTCTTTAGGGTTAAAATCTGATAATCAAATTGTCGTAACCCACATAATCGTCATTAGGAGTAGGACTATTTCAAATCCGAGTTGACAAAATAGGACTTCTTGACAATAGTCAAGAAGTCCTATTTTGTATACGTTCATTTGCTAATTTTGGCACAAAAACTCGAACCGTTTCAGTTTCAATTTTTGTTTTGGCTCCATTGAACAGTTGAGTTTTTGAGTGTTACAGCATTGTCGCTTTCCAGCGACGATATGAACACTATTGTGTACTACGACTTGCTAATATGTAATTATGTCTCAATATTTTGTAAACTGATGCTCACTTTTCGAAGAGTAATATAAAATGACATGTTAAAATAATGATTTGTATAAAATTTGTAATGTTCACAGAAAAAAAAAGATAGTAAATTTTTAATCAAGATTGGCAATCTAAACAGCACATTTTAGTAGAAGTAGAGCTCCTTGTGAAAGAGTTCGTCTAGGGAAGTATTGCATTACCTATTTCTGCCCCAAGCAACAATGCGAGCATTACAGCGTTTCAGTTTGAAAGGCAAGAGCGCTAGTGAAATTACAGGCACATGGGACTTATCAATTTATGTCTCAGGGTCACGGGTGCAGGCTTCAGACCTTTGCAATCAAATGCAAATTTGCTCTGCATAACAGGCGTGTCGCTCACCGCCATGGGCACGACTTGTTCGTCCCATCACTTGGTATCATGAAAATAAAAAAAAATACCCTGACTTTGAATTGTGATTAAAAAAACATTACCCGTATGTATTGGAGCTCAAACTCGGTCTTCCTTAAGATGTTAAGTGGTCTCGCAACAGGCTATCGCATGTACAAACAGTGAGTGAAAATCTAGTACATGCAACGTACCACAATAAAGAAAGCGCTAAACAATATGCATCTCCTTGAGCTTATTTTATCATCCTTAATTCGAAGTTTATTTGCTTTTATCTAACATTCTTGAAAAACAAGCAAAATTCATAGTGGATTTCTTTAACATTCGTAGCATTGCAAAACTCAGTGAATAATAATTTATGAGATAATAATTTCAGTTATATCAGTTGTGGTATGTAACATCATAGTACTATCTGTTAATACTTCGTTACTACGCACTCAGCAAATAAAATTAGGAGTGTGTATTGTAAGTTCATACAAATCCGTTATAAAATTGACCAACAATTCAAGAGGTCTGCTAATCTCCATACTGCAGATCGTAACTCTGAAAAAGGTCAACATTCCGTTTTATATCTAGATGGCTGGCTGTGGATATCAATTAATTCCACTTTAATATGAAATATGAGCAGTCAGTTTTTTTCTTGTATCATTCAAATACTGAATCTAACGCTGATTACACTACAAAATAATCACATGATAAAAAATAAAATATAATGTATAATATATAATATATAATAAAATTTAGTAAACGTTTACTGCAGCCGTTAAAACAATTAAGATGAGATCGAGACTAAACATTTGTCCTAGAAGGCTACACAAACAAGTTTGCAACTGAGTTGGTAAACTCCACATAGCAAATGAGAAATTTGTATTCAATACAAAGCTCGTTGCGAGTTCTAGCGTGCAATGCATGCAACTACTTTTCTGATACTGACGGGAACTGTGTGATAGTTTTTATATTGTTGGTTTACACACGACCGGCCACATCTGGTTGAGGATTTGCTACGTCTTATATTCAAGAGTCTATATGATATTAATTGCTTCCATCAGAATGGAACTCATTAAGTGAAAGCATTACCTTCCTGCAATGCCTGAAAACAACAAAGGAACCTACCTGATATCCATACACGGTAAAAACAGATTACTTAGAAAAAGACAAAATTCTTTTTATGAAGACAAATTTATTAAATCCAACAAAACGATCCTCTCCCTATAGACGCTAGAGAATAATTACTTGATAATAGTAAAAAAACGTCTCAAAAGTGTATTTTTGTTATAAGACAGAAATATTTAATCCAAGAGCAAATTAATTTACTTCAAGTCACAAAGCCACTCTAGATTCAACAAAATATTTATTTGTTATTAGAAATGTCCGATTTTGATTTGAAAAAAAAAGAATGAAAATTGAGAGGTACTTAATTATTTGACTAAAGATTTATATTTTCTAATATCAAAAAGGGTAAATTTATAGGGTTATGGACATTGACTTACAATTATATGGACGTCGGGTCCGCGCTAAAAAGTGTCCGCACTTGTAAGGCGCTAAAATCGTATACAGAGCGCGACAGTCTTCATTTGTTCTACTGACAGCGCGATACTGCGATGACATTACAATTTAAATTTCGAATAGGTTGACTTGGGACATTTTTTTCGTGGTTTTTGTATTAGACCCGCCGTCCATTTCAATTTCAATTCAATTTATTTATTTAGACAACAATGATCCAAAAGTGTTAGTGACAATGAAACTTAAAATTATGTTAGTACTTAAATTCTAAAACAGATTTTGTCATAACTATGAGATGCCTCATTATTGGACACTCACATCTTCCCGCGATTGTTTTCAAGAGGCTGTTACTGCTGCCACGTATTCTGTTCAACAGAGAAGCTGATTTTTTGCGCAGAACTGCCATGAAGCTATCCACTCGGGCTTCAGCAAACATGGCAGACGCACTACAAAACCGTGGCAGCCGCAACAGCGTCCTGAAGGCGTTATTGTATTGCGTGCGCAGGGCTCTGAGCGTGTTTTGGGTATAGCTGGCCCACAGGGCACCCGAGTATAGTGGTGTGCAGTATGCTCTGAAAAGAGTGACCTTCACCTCCACCGTACAACGAGCAAACCTGCGCGCCAGCATGTTCGCCCTCACCGACAGTGCCCTGCGCTCGCGTTCAACGTCCATATTGTCCTTGAGGTCGTCGGTAACATAGTGTCCTAAATATTTGTAAGTCAATGGTTATGGACCCAAAAGTATGTCTCACTAGCGTGATAGCAACCAGTTCAGTGCCATTCAGTGCCGTATAAACGCTACAGCGGCAGAAAACACTAACAATTCCAAATATGTGAGATGACTTTATACTATCGAAGTTAACAAAACGATAGCGCGTTTCAGAGTACAACTAATGCCATCTAGCAGTGGCGTGATGGAAGTAATTGCATGTTAAAGTTGCGCTTGTTACAAATGTGGTTTGATTTCATGCTGTAACCAAATTTCTTAAAATATGACTATGAATATAAATAACACCCTAACAAACTAGAGATACTACGTATTGTTTCTTAGGGTAAATGACTGTTTATGATTTTTATGATTACAAGCACGAGTAAAAGTAATCGTTACCGCGTGCGCCTTCGGCGACATGTCACGACAACATTGACTATGAAAACGCAACGAAATGTTGCTTTAAGAATATACTCTAGAATTTAGAATATTAATCTGAATAGAAAACTACTTCTTTTTTGTTTAAGAATATATTTTTTTTAAATACACCCAAGAAATTTTGAATTCATTTAAGATTATTTAAATTTGATGTAAGAGGTAAAAATTTCTTGATGTAAGTAATGTCCAATTAATTGATTAGAAATGAAATAAAATCTTGAAGTGAACGTATTTGTCTCAAAGTTAGAATAAACTTAAGAGTAAAACTATATTAGAAAAAGATAATCAGTATCTTTGTAATGACAATATTTTATTACTTTTAACAAAGATTTTTTCAGAATTAGCAAATATTTTGAGAAATTGCTCTTTCTTATTAGTAGAAATCCTTTTTTTCTGTGTATAAACGAGGTTTTGTGATTATCTTAAAATATGAAATATGTATATACAAACTATGGCAAAGATACTGAAGGTGGTTATTTAGGTACAAATAGTACCCATGGCATAATGAAGTCACATGTTATTATACGCCAAAAGCACTTTTATCTCACGAAAGTCTAAAATTAGTAAGTCTAATCTACATGAAACAAATTACGTATTTTTAAAATTTTATGATTCTCCAATTTATGTAACATTTTAACGAAACAAGTTATCGAAATATTTTAGTGCGTCTTCGGTTTCCAGTTACAATGTAAATTTATTTTTAGGATAATAAGTGAAGGGACGAACAAGTCGTGCGCCTGGTGGTAAGCGACACGCCTGTCCATGACAGTTGCAGTGCCACTCAGAGCTTTAAGTCTCAATGATATGAGAGACACTGCTACTGCACCTGTCACCCTGAGACATATGTTGACAAGTGCCACGTCATTGTATCATTTCACCAGCACCCTTATCCTTCAAAACCGTATGCTCACATTACTGCTGGACGGTAGAAATAGGTAAGGTGGTAGTACTTCCTTGGACGAACTCTTTCACAAGGACCTCTATTTCTAATAAATCCACCGCTACTTCTACTCCTACACGACATAGCTTACGGCGAATTTAAATAGTCACACAACTACGTCAAACTTACCAGAAGTTCCATTATTAATCTTAAAGTGTCTAGAATCTTCCCTCCTCCAGGCTATGATAGGTGCAGGTGTGCCTGAAGCGACGCATCTCAACACCGCATTTTCTCCTTCTTTGACTAAAACTTCACTACTACTGATCTCATCGTTGATATCTGGCGGAACTGTAGATAAAAAATGTAAAACATAATATTAATATTTTTTCTTTGTTTCCCATTGTCATACCGCATTTATGGCGTGGTTGGCCTTAAATAAGTTGTTAGAAGAATAAGAAGAACCGCTTTCAGTTATAATTATTTCTCACTACGTTCATTAATCGGATCGTTAATGGATCTCACTGAATCAAACTAGACCATAATCCATTAAATTTGTCTAATTAGAGTTGGGAGAGTCCAAAAGTCTTCGAAGCGTTTACAAGTTTTGCTTTTTAATGATGTTTAAAGTTTAAGACAGGTCATCTCATGATCTAAGTAAAAATTGCAATTGTAATAAATTTAATCGTAATGATTATTACTAATATATTGTATCATAAACACGGGTGTTCTATTGTGTGATTGTTATAGAAGACTACTTCTACGAGATACGAGAAGGAAGGAAGGAAGATGCGAGGAGCAAAATTTTTATAAGAATATTTTCTTTTTGTAATAGTTGAATAAAATATATGGTTTGTTATGCTGACCTACCACCTGCAGCAAATGTGTCTGACTCATCATGGGCTCCGTATTGACCTGACACATATATCTACCTCCGTCAGCTTCGCTCACGTCTCTCAGGCCTAGTGTCCACGCTCCATCACCATGGTTCACCGTCACTCGATGATTCTTTGTGATTACATGACCAGCTATGGTCAATATTGTTTGTGTGTCTACTCGGAGCCACGCCACCTGTGAGACAAAATATTTTTTATTACAAAATACCATCACACTATTAATTGTTATCTTCAATCGGGTCAATATTCCGGTAAATATTCATCTTATTTAAGGTGGATGCGAGAATTTAAATATTTGTTGATTGAACCGTATTGCTGCCTTAGATACAAAGCGTATTTATCTGCAACGGAACCACGATTTCTCGCGCGAGTCTCGATAGCTATTAATATCAATCTCGATATTGTTTGGATATGTACCATTTGAAATTTTAAAAAGATGGCTTCATCCTATTCTTCGTCCGTCAACATATTTAATAATAATAATTTGCGGGACATGTTACTTAAGCCGCGTGTTTATTGCTAGACGCACTAAACAGCACTGAATCAACCACAATAGCTTGCATGAGCCCGCATAAGCTGGCGAGATTTCAATTCTCGTCTCGCCTCGGCGGTGGAAAACCACCTTTACACCCAAAAGCATTAATAAACAAGAAATAAGAACTCGTTAACATGATATTAAATCAAAAAGACAACACTGAAAAAGCCCCAAAGCTGCATCTCCTGAATCTCTATTTATTTTCAAGGTCACTCAAAGGAAGATGTATAGAGTATGACAAAAGGGTATAAAGTTACAATTTGGCATATAAAAAGTAAAAAGTGTCCATATAAAAAGTGTCCATATTTTATTGATAACCCCCGTTCAACATGTCGACAGATTTTAACTCTGCTCACTTTTATACATTGTTTATCATACTTTACTGCAAGAGTAACTGTATCATCTAAGTATAAAGTTTGTTATATAAGAAATTTTATGAATATTTACACAGACTACGTTGTAGTTCGTTACCTTGTTGCGAAGTAACAAGATTAATGTTGTAGAAATTAGGATATGAGTTAGAGTTGTCCGAAACAGATAAAAACTAGTTACAGTTTGAGCAAATTAATTATTAGCTAGTTAATTATTACTTACGTGATTAAGTTTGCTTATCTTTTAAAGGTTTATTATTTGTTAGTTATTTGTTTGATGCAACAAAGAATATTATAAGCTTTAAAATTTTACACGTGGTGTTGATATTATATTGTTGTGATTTCGTGTCTTAGGTGTTCTTGTGTCTTAACTGAAATAAATTTTCTTTAAATGTATAATTTCTTAGACAATTGTTTGATTTCCAGAGAAGTGCTGGATATTGGCTAAGAGAGTAATTTGTCTCGAAAGAGACAACGGGAGGCGCACCTCCAGCGAGTATCCAATTAATCTGTACGGAACGTCGTTCTTGATTAATAAAATTAATTATATTTCCTTAGAGATTCGATGAATGTTGATAATTTTCATAATTATTCAAATTTTAATTCTAATGTTTAATTGGATACATGTTGTTAAATATAGGTCTTAAATTACTACATACAGTATCAAACATGAACCCTGTAAGGGCACAAAAATGTAATTTTTTAAGTAAATTCTAAATAAATCTAAAGTTGTATTACAATTCATTATATTTCATTTAAAATTAGATTAATTAAAACATAGAAATTATTACAAATAATCAAAAGTACAATTAAGTAAAATTATTATAGTCGTCACAAAATAATAGATCATATTTGACACATGTCATCGCAACGTAAATAGTGATGTGAACTGCAATATCGGTAACCAGTTTAAACGATTCTCACGAGAAATCGATTAAAAATTTTAGGAGTTTGTAATCGTTTAGGTTATTTTTCTGTTCATTGCTTTTCAGTTCTAGATATATCAATCAACATTTATTTAAACGTTATACAGTTTAATAGAAATAATAAGTAAGTATTTTAAGTGAGCACAACGGCAACCTGTACTTGTTGTTGTATTGTAGTTATACATTAGCATAGTTCACGAGGATAACCTGTACGTAAATAACAAAATTCTGAAGTAAAACAAAAGACCTCCTTATTGGAATTTTTTATTTATCAACGTCATCGGAAGATGAACCAAAACCATCTGTTGAGCTAGTTTCACCAGTCCATATAATTAACTCGTTTTCAATTAAATTATCAATATTAACATCTCTGTCAAAATCTTCTTTTATTAGTTTTCTAGTTTTTTCCACCACCTTTCTCCAGTCTTCCTTTGTTACTTTAGTACATGCTTCCTTTAATAAAGTCATCATTTTTTTTGTGGAGAACGGTGGCTTAGTATTATTACGTCCTGCGTAGCCTGTAAAAAAAAAACACTGTTGTAAAATAGTAATGTTCCTTCACAGTGATATTACAAATTCGAAAGTTTATATGTTACCTCTTTACATTTGTACTTTATTAAAATATGCTACTAGTACAAAATAAGTCTTAATATATACGAATTTAAAATAACAGTATTAAATGCAAAAATATTAACCTTTAATTTGAGCCCAAATCAACTCAATAGCATTGTATTGACAGTGGTACGGCGGTGTCCTTATAATTTTATGTCCATGCTCAAGTGCCAATTCATCAATTTCATACCTAAGTTTTGTAGGTCTATGCTCTCGCACTAATCTTAACAATTCCACTTTCAATAGCTCCATGTCAGCTTCGACACCATTCCTCTGTAGCCATGCCACCAAATCAGCCTTTTTATTTGCCTGAGTCGGCGCTCGATCTATTTGAACCGAATGATACGATGCATTGTCCATAATTATTGTACATTGTTCGGGGAGGTTCTGAAGTAAAGTTTTAAACCACTCTTTAAATTTGTTTGCGTCCATTTCTTCGTGATATTCTTTTGTACTTTTTGATTCAAATGCTAGTAAAGCATTATTAACGAAACCTCCCCCGGCTGATCCAGCATGGCAAATTATGAGGCGACCACCTTTTCCCATTGGCACTTTCGAGCTGGATGCTTTAGTGTCGTCGGTCCATGATTGTGGTACTGTGTGGTTTGAGTTCAACCAAGTCTCATCGATAAACACAACATTATCCCAATTTGTAATTTTATTCATTTCTCTCAAAAATGAAACTCTTTGTAATATTAAATCATGTCTTTCCATCATAATATTTCTTTTGTCAGACTTCTTGTATTTAAAACCAATTTTTTTCAAAATTGTAATCAGTGAGGTAGCACTCCCAGTAAATAAGCCAAGCTCTCGAAGTGATACCAACAATTTACTCACAGTAGGGTACTCGTGTCTAGTATAATATGTATAAACATGGTTACGAATAGCGTCTGCATCGAACGTGTCGATACCTGTTACAGGCTTGCTTTTCTTCCTCTTTCTAGGCGTATGTAATACGTTTTCTTGAGAGCCGGAAGGCCCATATTTTTCTTGTATGATGGTGTGTACCGTTCTTTTGCCGATTCCAAGTGCACTTGCGACGCGATTTTGCACTTGTGTCACTGGTAATAGAGGTCCACCATTAAGTGACTCCCTTTCGAAATAGTCGTGTAATTTCACAACCAGTTCGCGAGTCTGGCTATTTAAAGCACGTCCTCTTTTCGACATGTTGAAAAAGAGTTCACACAGAATCAAGTCCAAAATATCCAAGCCAAGGTCAACGAGATTGAAAATAGAAGTAGTCCAAAAGCACAGCCGAGTCACAAGAAAAAACACCACGAATAACCAAGCGTACAGTCAACTTCCAAGACGGCGAAAGACTGCGCGGGCGCCGATGCAGAGTGACGCTAAATCGACATCAGTGTTGCCGTTTCAGAATTTGCGATAAAGAAAAGGAAATACAAATCTGACTTTACGGTTCTGTCTACTATAAATACTAGTATACTCAGTCTAATTTTGTAAGCACTTTAAAATTTTTGTTTTTGTAATTAAATAAGTCATTTTTTTAAGTGAAACCGATTTGACTCGATGATAGTCGGCGCGTATTGGTTACAACATTATTATTAAAAAGAATTATTTCTTTGTAGACTGAAGATGTAACTGTTTATAAGACGTTTCGGAGTAACCCAAAATTGGATTTTATTTTGGAATTCCTGCGAAAATAATACTTGAAATATGTTTCTTTCATAATGTATAGACCTTCAATAAAATTTATGTATTTTTTTAAAACCCAATAAG